GCTGCTGGGGCAGCGAGGGGTGGAGACTGGGAATTGGGGAATCTCTGGCATGTTAACTAGAAACGCCTTGTGGCTGGCACAGTGAAGTCACTCCGATGTGCCAGCATCTGGAATCTGTGAAAGGTGTAGACCTGTCCGAGGTGGTCCTGGGAAGCTTGGCCTTGGGTGGCCTCGTGTCGTTAGGAGCAAAGGCCATGAAACAGAACCTTAACCTTGTGGGTTTACTCTGCTCCTGGTGGGCCCTTGAGGGAACCTGGGAAATTTGCGTAGAGGCTGTGACTTGCCGTCCCTCCCTGCAATCTAAGGACCAGACAGTATGGCCCAGCAGTACACCCGACGGTCCTGATGCACTGCGGCTTCAGAGTATAGAATCTGCAGGAAGAAGGCATTCTTGGAGGGGGTGGGGCATGTACACACCACTCCACTTCTCATCATTACCAGGAGGTAGAGGCAGGTGGGCTGAGAGAGTGGCCTTCTGGGAGGAAAGTTTTGTACAAACTGATTCATGTTTGTACCACAAAATGTCGCGAGGGTTACCGGCCAGTCCCCTCTGCCTCACCGGGGCTGTGGCCTTCACTTTCATTTATTAGTGACTCTTGTGGTTCCAGCCCTTCTTGCTGCTTGAGACTCAAGCGGAGCTCTGTGCTTTCGTCTGGTTTATGACCCCAGAGAGGCTGTGCCGCTGGTGTCTGCCCTACTTTCTCCCCTAAGCCTTCTGAAGTCCATGCTTGTTACCAACCCAGAGCTATGCTTCCCTATTGTAAAACTGTACCCGGCTGCTGCATGTAGCAAGGGACCTTTGCAGACTCCTGTCACCCGTCCCAGCGTGTACTTTACATTGGGGGATTTTTGAAAACTGGATAGACTCATTTCTGGCTCTATAATAACAAATTCACCAGCCTGGTCTACAAGAGCTAGTTCCAGGACAGCCTCCAAAGCCACAGAGAAACCCTGTCTCAACCCCCCCCCCAAAAAAAAAAGAAAAAGAAAAAGGGGAAAATAAAAATCAAACCCAAACTTTTATTATGTTTTTTCCAGCCCTCACCGTAGATGAGGTCCCAGTAGGAGCTCAAGGCTCAACACCAAAGCCCAAAGTCTGTTCGGTGATGCTTCAGGGAACTGATAGCAAATATAAGTCAGTATCTATTAAGTTCCTGATACCCGGGAGGTGTCAGCATTTTGCATCAGGAGAAATGGAGGAATGAGCCAAATTGATGTTTACCAAGTGAAGCTTGCATGGACATCCTTAGGTCTCAACAGGACAAATGGCTGCTGAGACACCTATTTAACACATCAACCTGGAGGGGCTTGGCCACCAGGTTCAGTCCCCACCTGTTACAGGGTATGACTGGCCTACCCTGACCCCTACTCAAAACTTCTCCAGCCCAGGGGCTGAGCTGCCCTTTCCTATATAAACCAGCCATTTTGCTTATCTGGCCCTTTTTGGTCTGCCCTTTATAATCCTGGTCTCTTGTTCTGGCTCTCCCCTCCCCACTCCTCACAAGGCCCTGCTCAGGGTCAGGTTTACTCGGGACTCCCCCAGATGTCCCTGCCTCTGGCTATGCTCTCCCTTTTTATTCACAGATGTAGAGACAGGTCTCCTTCAGATGGGTGTATAGTCTTGCCCTTGTTTTGGCTGCTGCTGCTGGCCTTCAGGAAAGGCATGGAAGGGCTTCGGAAGGGAGGGGAGGAAAACCAGTCTCCCACAGTTGCAGCAAACATGCTAAAGGGCAGAGCCAGCTCGTGGTGTGTGGTGTTGGGCAGGTACTGCGTGTGTGCTGCAGAGGTGGGGGTTTCCTACCCATTCAAGCCACGTATGTGAGTCATTGCCCAGAGTGCATTTAAGTAGCATTCTGTAGGTCCTGCCTCATAGGGTCCCACAAAAGTAGAACCCAGACCAGCTACCTTGAGCCATGTGCTCACCAGGGAACTTCTGGAATCTGGACCCTCTGGGAATCTGGACCCTCTGGGTTGTGGGGCTCTTTGGGGCTTCTGATCCAAGAGGGGCCTGAGGCCTTTTAGAATAGGTATTTGCAGCCACAAGGACCCATGCAAGTTCCTATCAGGGCTTGGGACACCTGTCCACATGGTCCTGCTGGTTGCAGGCATTGGAAGGAGTAGGGATGGAATCTAGAACATTCCAAGGGCAAATCATGGTTGAGTAGAATGAAGCCTCTCTGAGGCACTAGCCCAGGATCTTAGAGCAAAGCTCTCAAGGGTAGAAGACTTTAAGATTTAAGAAATAGCAATTTCTTCTGCCTCCCTTGGGCGCTTTAACTCTGAGAGAAAAGCTGTTCTGAGAAGGCAGATAGAAAGTCCTGGACTTTCTGCAATTTATGCTTGCAGGGTTGGTAAAAAGTCTCCCTGCTCTTCTCTGGTAATTAGTTAAATGCTCAAACACAAAGCCCACAACGCTCACCCCACTGTTTCCAAACAGCTTCAGGCACTCTGGGACTTCCTGGAAGTTGGCCTAAGGCTGACTCATAAATCTGTTCCTGCCTGTGACCCTCAAAAGAAGGGACCAGGAGGCTGGTTACAGCAGAGCCTTGGGTAGAGAGGATGGGGCAGTTCTGAGTTGGCCTTGTGGCACTGTCACCTTGGGCAAGTAGGAAGCAGAGTTCCTCCTGAGCTGATAGACAAAAACCCTTCCTTGCTATCTGAACCCTACTTCTAAGGCTGCTGCAACCCCACCTCCCAGAGAAGCAGACACACTCAGGGAGAAGTTGCTCTCATCTGTTTTATTGCTAAGCTGTCATCATACAAGCCGTATAAAAATACTTTACATATAGCAAAAATAAACTACATGAAACTGGAGATTAAAATCGTTTTGCATAGGAATGAGATACATGCTGACTCCTCAAGACCATTGGGATTCTTCCTGAACCCTGGTCTTCAGGCATCACTGGGGCAACCTCTAGGAACTGGAGGGTTGTGAGACTCCCTGTGAGGGCTGAGAGGTGACAGGGGAACAGGGTACTTTGATAAGATGACTGGGACATTCCCAACAGTATACTCTGGCCAACCAGAATGCTGGGGCTCCTAGTCACACAGCAACAGCACCAACTGCACCCAGCCCATGTAAAGCCTGAAAGGGCAGGGAAATTTATTCCCATTGGCCCCAGGGGCTGCACAGAGACAGCATTAACCCTCTGACTCCCAGCACCGCTCTGTGATCTCAGAGGGGCCTGAGCAGGGAAGCACGACTCTTGTCCATCACTAGAGTTAGCTGTAAACAAACTGGGTTAAGACAAGGATGGTGGCTGTATGTCAAGGCACGGGTAAGTTGGTCACAGGTGAAGGTGATGTTGCCTCATTTTAGCAGCTGGCTGAAACTCTCTTGCTCTGCAGGGGCTGGTTTGGGTCCATGGAGTTTGATGGCCAAGGTTGGGAGATGCCAGCGGTAAGGGTGTTTCAGGTTCCTCAAGGTTGCCCTTCCAGCAAGAGTTCAGGAATGCTTGTCCTAGCCTGGCCACCCCTATGTCTTTTCTGGAGTGCCTAATGAACACAGTTGTTAAGTAGCTCCCCGCACAGTCTGTCAGTGCTGAGCACTGTGGTACAAAAACAAACCAACTCAGCCTCTCTTGGTTCTGAGTGACAATCAAAACACATAGCTTCTGGCCTCTCTGTGTGATGGTGCCACTGGTGGCTGAGGGTGGCTGATGGTGACGACAGATAACAAGACTACCGGATGTGAACAAATTATCCCAGGTCTTGGGAGGAACCAGGCTTTATCCATGGCTATGTTGTGCTGGATAAAAGGTGGCTGTCCTTTGGAGGCTGCACATGGGGACACCTGTGAGGACTCCACGTGGTTGGTTCTGTCAGCATCAGCCTGCCTGTAGGGTCTTGTCAGTCCATGAAATACAGGGTTCTGTGGCTTTAAATTAAGAAATTACCAACTAAACCCTTTGTGTACAATTCTCAGGGATAACCCAGGCTTGAAACTGAAGGAGTGGGTATCTTTCTCAAGCAAGAAAAAAATGCTCTCTCCTCCCAGTCCTCTTCCCTCTTGTCCCAGGGTCCTGAGAGGGACCCAGGGTGAGTCTTTGGATTGTTATTCTGGAATGAAAACTTTCAAGAATACACCATTTCTCTTTTAAGACATATATGAAAAAAAAAACTTAAGAAGACATCTGACCATTTATAAATATGTTCTAACACCATCAGGGATATTTTGAGGGCAGATTAAAAAGCATCAAAATCCAGGTAAGAAAATAAAATTTAATACCATAGGAATCTGGGTGGATATCTACTCTCCAGCAGCCATGTCTTTGTACAGTCAGGAAGATGTGCAGAGTTTGGAGAGTTAAGTACCACATTCAGCAAGACGGAACTGTCAGAGTGCCAAACTAATGCCACCATGGATTTAATAAGGACACATTTCTGCTTCGACCCTTCTGACCCACGTGGGATACACCCACCTTCACTACTCGGGCATCTTTTTCTCATGGACTTAGATCAGATGGCATCTTCCCACTCTGGAAACTGTTTTAAAGCAATCACACCCAGTGAAGTTTCCCCCTAATGTCTGTGCCTGACCAAACCACCTTGATAGCTGTCTGCTGCTCATATACTTTCTCTGGCCTGTCTGGGAACAAATGCTACTTTCTCTCCTTGGCTTCCTGGTCTACTTGTTTATGAGAAGGTTTCTTAGACTATCCAGCTAAGATAGTCTAAAGAGAAGGGCATTACACACCACACACACACACACACACACACACACACACACACACAGGTACAGGATCTGAACTATGGGAAACCCTCTTGCTGACATGGTTAGAAGATGAATGGGAAATGAGTTAGCCCTTTTTCACCCTGTAGACAATACAGCTGAACTACTCACTACAATTGCAGGAAGGCACTTGGGTAAAACATGGAGATAATCTGAGGAAGGGCTCGATTCCTCATGTGCAAAAAGTGGCTACCAGCCAAAGCAAGTGAGAACTGATCTCTCACTAAACCCTTGACTCCCTTCCCCAGAGAAGTCAGTCTTGTGCCAGTGAAGGGCCAGCAGGGAAGCTCGCTTTAATTAGAAGGAAGTACTCAAAAGCAGGGACTCAGTGCTCAACTGCTTGTGGAATTCTGGGTTCACAGGAGAATTCTGCTCAGGTCTAGCTTGGGGTGGGTGGAGGAAAGCCAGGTGCTGCTCTAGGGGAAAGAAGTACTAGGTATTAGCCAAAAAGTCACACTTTTCATGCGCAAGCTGAACCCTGGGCATGGGGTCTCTGTCTAGAGAGCTAGCCATAGCTGGCCCAGCTCCCAAGATTTACTTTGGGATAGCCTTGACAAAGCCAGAATATAAGAAACCCATGATGAGTATTTAGCCATTGTGGCTTGCTATTATGGCCCTCTGCCTAGTAGACAGAGCAGAGAAAGTCACTTGATGTGCCCGCCCAACGTGTACAGGGGCATCTGTGGCGAAGGCAAGCGGAGAAAGCAATCTTGCTCTTGACAAGAACTCTGTGGGAAGGAAAAATACAAAAGGAACAACAGCAAAATAATTGCACCAGGGGAGGAAGACTGCGGAGGACAGCAATGAGAGTGTGTGTGGGGTTCCACAGGACACACAGCCGGCCAAGCAGGGCTAGATCACACTAAGGCACATGCTGGGCCGATCTGCCTGAGTTAGAGGCAGCTCAAGTGGCAGCGCCTTGGGTTCTACAGCGACTTTACACGAATCCAGGTAAGAAACAGCCATGGGCTATGCCCGAGGGCGGGCGGCGCTTTCCTGCTTGGTGTTTAGGGTAGGGGTTGGTTTCAGCTCCTTTGTTCTGTTTGGTGGCAGTCATGACAAACACCTGCAGGATTTGATTGGGGTAGGTGACTTCAGCTCTGTAACAGTCAATGCAAAGTCCCAGAAGGTTCTCCCAGTTCCTGGGCAGAAGAGGCTGTGTCTGGGAGGAGGGTGGAGAGGAGCCTTCAGAAGCGTTGTTCTCAACAGGCAGCCCGGGCTGGGTCCCACCAGAGGTCTGGTGCCAGCTGCAGGGTTAGGGTGTAGCTGGCTGAGAGGGCCCAGCCTGCAGACTCCTTGGTTGGCTCTTTGAAGCAGAGAAAAACAAAACAAAGCCCCAGAAGCAGGCAAACAAGTACATGTGTTATAACTTAAGGCTGAGAAGTTGGAGCAGGTGGTCCTGCCAGGGCAAGGCAGTTTGGCTTTGGAAACAAAATTGAAAATAAAGCCTTGCTATGGCCGAGCTGGGGCAGAGATGATGGTCCAGTTTTGGCTCCTACAGAGACCTGGAGTTTTTGAGTCCACAAGGTGGGCTCTTGGGCCATGTTCTTTTGGTTGCTCTGTCTAAACAGTCTCAGAGAGAGTTAGGAGCCATGTCTGTGGGCTGGGGCTCTATCAAAACTCCCCAGTTCTCTCCCCCAGCCCAGCCTCTGGGTCTCAGGCAAGCTCAGCTTCCTGGCGAGTTGAGATTGGGGCTTTGGTCAGCAGGCCGTTGCTTTTTCATCCAGTCACCATGGACCTCAGCTGAGATGACCTTTTTGAGGTGGCAGGCTCCTACACCAACAGCCTGCGCTGCGTGTGCACACAGTGTTCCAGTCAGGGAAGGCGGCGGCGGGGGTGGGGGGATATAGAAGGGGTCCAAGGTGGAAGGCGTCTCGCGATAATGGCTGTTTCTAGGTCTGATTTTGTGGGGGAGGTCCTGAAAACTCCTTCCTGATGATTTCATTAACTAGAAAGGGAGACAGGATGAAAAAGACAGTGAGATGTCACCCAAATCAGGCGTCAGGTTACTCTCTGTGTTTTCCTTGTGGCAGTCATTTAACCATTTTAACATAAATGCCCACCTATGTCACTGCCCGAACCCAAGTTCCCCCAACTGACTGCTCACATGCTAATGTGTTGTTGTCCCCTCTGTCCTTTCGCTGGGGCACTTAAGCCACTGTGTGTCTACCAAACCGCCTCTGTGGCTACCGTGTCCTCAAAGTACCTAGCATGTGACCCTGTTGCATCTGATCAAAAAACAAAGCCCTTAAAACCCCAAACTCAGGACCCCTTAAAAAGAAAGCAAGGGTGCTGGGGGCAGGGGGCTGGTGGGAGTAGGTTCACACTTACTAGCTGCCCACTTAAATTTTTTTGTTTGTTTGTTTTTGTTTTTTGAAACAGGATTTCTTTATGTAGCCTTGGCTATCCTCAAACTAGGAACTCTCTCTATAGACCAGACTGGCCTTGAACTCACAGAGATCTGTCTGCCTCTGCCTCCCAAGTACTGGGATTAAAGGCGTGCGCCACCACTGGCTGGCCACAATCTATCTATCTATCTATCTATCTATCTATCTATCTATCTATCTATCTATCTATCTTTCCTTTCTTTCATCAGCACAACCAGGGTCTGCTATTACTCGAGGGTTGTGTTTCGAGGTTCCAGGAGTGGGGAGAAGGGGGGTCCTTAGAGGGGCTTGGGAGCCAGTCACCTTCCCTGTAAGTATGTGGTTCCAACAGGAACTGTGGTGTGACACCAGCCCCTGCCATGGAGAAGCTATCTGTCCAGCTCATCTGGGGTGTGTTGCTGGAATGGGGTAGGAGATCCTAGCACAGAGGATCTGGCCACAGGCTTCCCTTAGCACCCCCAGAGATCAGCCACTCATCACCAGCACACACGGGAGGCTGCAGAGCCTGTCCCCAAAGCAGTGGACATCTCTGGCAACATTTTGTCAGCTGAACCCAGGGGGGAAGGGGATTTCTCCCCTCAGCTTCCTTGGTTTCATCTGAGCTGTTTTCTGAGTGTTAGAGATGGAAACGGCGGGGAGGGCAGAAAGGCTGTGGAGGCCTTCCTCATTTCAGGCTCTCCGCTTTGTCCTGGGAAGCCCCTGCTTGGGAGAATCTGTGACCCCATGTCAGCAGGGAGGGGGAAGGGTACAATTTTAAAGAACAGGCTAATCCAGGTTTGTCTCTGAGCGGAACTGACTGTGTGACTCGACTGGTCTATGTGACTCAGGCTCTCTATCTCTAGAACAGGAATCACAGATGCGCATTCCCTTTAGGATCTGTCTGCTTTCTCTTTTACCTTCAACTGGTGTGTTGGGGGTGAGGTAATGGGACGTGTCATGGCGTGTAAGTGGAGGTCAGAGGACAACCTGAAGTCTGTCCTCTCTTTCCACTATGTGGCTCTCAAAGATAATTCAGGTCACTGAGCTTGGCACCAAGTACCTTTACCCACTGAGCCATCTCACTCACTGGCTGTTTTTGCTTCTTTAAAAAGTATTTTTGAGATGGGGTCTTGACATGTAGTCTAGGCACTCATGATGTAGACCAGGCTGGCCCTGAACTGACAGGCAATCCTCCTGCCTCTCTGTCTCCTAAGTGCTGGGATCACAGGCATGCACTGTTATGCATGGCTGTGAGGGTGTCAACCATGGGGTGGATAACAGCACCGAGCCTGGTGCATGGTGGTCCACGGCTGTCAGCAGTCACGGCCAGGAGCACGCTGGTGTACCCACAGTGCTTTGCACGAGAAGGTTGGGCTCAGCTTAGTGTCCTCCAGGACTTGCTGGAGTCAGAGGGTCAGAATACCACTTCTGATATGACTTGATTGTAAGCCTGGGTTTACTGATAAAACCATTCTGTGCCTCAGTTTCTCAACCTGTAACTGGGTCCAAAAACATTACTGTTTACTAGTGCTGTGAGCATGACTACATCATCAAGTCAGTGGCCACAGCATCCAGGGCAGAACATGTGTGGGCTTGCAGAACAGAGCACTAGATGCTGAGTAAGTTCAAAGGATGAGCCCTGGAGCCCATTGCAACAAACATTTTTGAGATGGTAAAGAGGGGCCTCAGGCTGGACGCCTATGGTTAGCTGACTGGGACCACGTGTACATGCACTGTAGACCGGTGTTCTGGGTACCAGCTCACTCACTGGGGCCTAAAACGGGAAACCAAAGGAAGGATGCCAACCTCAGCTCTGCCAATGCAGAGCCGAGCCAGGGCCCAGTGAGCTGCCAGCCCTCTGGGGATGGAATGGATGCTAAATGGAGAAGGCAGGGAAGCTTTTCAAAGTCGGGATTCTAGCCGTCTTCCTTGCTCACTCAGCCTTTGGAGTAAGAGTGGTAGATCCTTCGTGGAAACGTCCCACAACCCAGGTTTGTACAAACAGCTGATAGGTATTGCACTGGGCACCACAGACCCTCACACAGGGTCATGTCCCTCTGAGGAGCACAGGCCTGGGAGGCTGGATGATCTCCGGGCAGCCAGAGAGAGGCAGTGTGGCCCTCTTGAGGCGAGTGTCTCCAGCTGAAAGCTGCCTTCCAACCTCATCTAGAACATTCAGTCAGTGATTCCCACTTGGGACCTTTACATTGCAGGCTGGTTTGTGAGGCTGTTACCAGGTTGAACCCCCCCCCCCAAATCCTACTTGTACCCCTGGTTGCAGGAGAGAAAGTTCTAGAAAATATAACAACCAGATGATGGCAATTGCATCGTTCTATGTCAGGCTAAAACTTGGGCTTTAAGTTCTGAGAGGCTCAGCTCAGCCTCTCCATCCAGGTGTCCTCTTGCAGGCCACTAGGGTTGGGGACAGCCTGTTACCCTCTGAATGGAGTCCATAATGCCCACTGTGACTATCTGCCCTTATCTTTCCCCATTAGGAGGGAGATTCCAACTCGGGCCCCATCACTACCTCCTTCCTCTCCCCTGCCCCCCCCCCTCCATGATTAGATTCTCCTATACCCAAAACTAACTCCTGCTCTGGGCCAATCCCAAGCCTGTTTTCCAGAGTCCCCCTTGAGGACCCTGTGACCTGTCCCTGTGTGACCTCACTTCCCACCACTCTGGACATGCATGGCCCCAGCTTCCACCTTCCAGTTCATGCCACCAGCAAACCTCTGGTCCCCTGTGTTCCCCACCAGGCAGATGCCATCCTTGCCTCTTCTAAGGTTTGTGTCTTCTGCCCATGTCTTACAGCTGGCTCTCCTGTACTCTCCTTCCCTGGCAACTCAACCTGTGTGTTCACATGCCTGGCTGTAACCTGTGCCCCAGACATAGGAAGTACCCAGTAATGACATGGGGACACAATCTTAGAAAGAGCCAGACGCTGAAGGTTCCACGTCAGAGCTGGGTATGGCTCCCAAGGGTGACTCAGAAGTCTGAGCCTGACCCCCCTTGTGTTCATCCCATGACTCCTATGAATGTCTGCCGGCTCTTCGCCCCACCTTGGTCCATGAGTCTCCACGCAGCCCTCATCCACTTGCAAATCTAACTTCCTGTCTGCCCTTGTTCCAGCAGTACCTATTCCTGTGCTCACACACAGCCCCGCAGTCCCTCAGACTGTGCCATGTGCAGGACCATGTGCACAGCTGGTGTTTAGGGTGGCTATTACCGGCCTAGAGATTTTACCTATAAAAGAATGAACCATGCAGGTTTTCTGAGCATGGTGGGACCATTCCCACCTCAGCCCTAGTAACATGGTTACACTCTTGATAGATGCTTTGGAGACTGGAGGTAACTTGCTGCAGCAGGCAAGAGGGGGTTGGATTTAGACTTGAATCAGGTCTACTCTATCAATCACTTAGTCTGCAGCCTACATACTGGCCAAGAAATTGTTCTGTGTGGTTCGGTATTTGCCCCTTTTTGTTTCTGCAGACTGGAATCCTCACTGCTTTGTGCAGGAAGAGGACAGATGCTTTCTGAGTTATAGTGGGCAGGTTTGAATCAGGGTTTCTGTCAAAAGCACCACATTCTAAGTCTAGAACGGGGTGTGGGAGAGCCCACCCCAGTGCTGAGGATGAATGTGAATCTAACTTCATTGTGACCCCCAAGGCTGCCACTGGGAAACAGAAGATGGACAGATCTTAAATGCATCAAAATTATAGCATCTTTCATTATCAGAGATAATTATTCATATATAAGAGGTATTATAGCTCTAAGAATAATAAAATTAATAATAAAATGAATCAATAAAAATGGCTACAGACCATATTGAAAGGGCCATGCCAGAGACCAAAAGGCCCTTTTGGTAAAAACTAGGTACTATTTTCAGATTTGTGGGTACTGGGGCCTCAACTATTGAGACAGCTATAGGCAAATCAACATCAATGTGTCTCAATAGAACTTTATTGACAAAACACAATGGTGGCAACATCAAGCCTCACCACCATAGTTTGCCAGTGGCAGAGAGGTAAAAGAACAGCGTATTTTCATTACCTACTTTGGACTCATCAATCTGGGGAAGCCAGAGCCTCAACTAGCATTACTTAAGCACTGGCCTGGGTTTGTTTAGCGGTAACGTTCTCGTGGCTAAAACTGACTTGTCCTGGGGACTTGTTAGACAAGGGACTCTTGGGTTCTTCCCACAGCCCACCCCCCACCTTAGCTGCTGACCCCAGAATGGTGACTTGGGGGAGGAGCTGACAGGCCTCACTGCTTCTCTTCCAAAATGCAACTGTGTTTTCTACCGTTTGGCCAAACTGTAGCCAGGACAGGCCTGGAGTGCCCCACCCTGGCTCTGCTGATGTTCGGAGAAGCTCTTCTAGAGCTAAGGACCAGTTCTGGACCTGAAGGACTGGGCCTTCCCTGTCACTCACAATTCAGATGTCACCTGAGGATGTAATTATTGGGTTTACTTTGTGGAGAAACGTCCTTGCATATTTTCTCGGCTCCTTTCCTGAGCTTTGGACACCTAAGACCACTAGAGAACTTTCTAGAACATAGCCAGGCCATCTCTACAGGCTTAGTGGAAAGGACAAAATCCCACGATGGGTCAGTGCTGGGGTCAGAGGGAGGCTGATGACTGGGACATCTGCCAAGTTCCCAGGCCCAAGAAGCACATTGCACCCTTGGGGACCTGTAAGGGACTTGTCTCTCCACATAGAATATTTATCAGCCCAATTCCTGGGCCATGGCAGATGCTCGGCAGTGGGTAGCTTGAACGGTGGATGCCCTTGGCCACAGCAAAGTTGGAATCCCTGTTGTTGGATGGGATGGGTACCTGGCCTTCCCAGGAAGGGTGTATTGTAGTGTTGGGATGCCTTTATCCCTTGTTTGGGGGGAAGTAGGAGGTTGTAAGCTGTCAGTTCATCTGAACACACTACACGTGGCTTTTCCTCACTGTTTTTTACTGGGATTTTTAGTGTGACTCTGCCAAGGGCATCTGAACCTTACTTGAGAGGTAAGGCAGCTGCTTTCACTGACAAAAAGAAGTGGGAAGCCGGCCCATGGTCCAGCACCCCAAAATTCCAAATTAACCGCTATCCCAGAGAGCTCTGTGGGCCAGCTGTAGCATCAGGCTGATCACATGGCAGGGACATGGGAAAGCCGTCACTTCCTCCTCAACCCATGGGGACTATATTGTCAGTGAGCCTCCCAAGCTTGCCCTATCCAGTCTGATTTGGTCACCAGCCACCCGACCCTTCTATGCAGCCCCAGAGGTCAGATGCAGAAGGGGAAGCCAAGTGAGGGCATTTGTGTACTATAGAAAGCCACACACGCTCTCCTGGTCATGGGGTCTCCTGATCAGCTTCCTAGGGCCTTTAATTAATGCAAAATCCCCACTCCTGTAGGGTGAGGGTCCCCCAGGACAGCATGCAAACCCTTGCATCCACCCCCACCTCACAGACTGAGAATCTTGGGGCTGTCCAGCCCTCGAGAGTGGGATCCGCAAGTACGGTTGGCCAATGAGCAGAAGGCCTTGGGGCTGGCACATTCTCTGACTTAACAGTGAACTCGAGGTAAGCAAACACAGCTGGTGACCCCAGGGAGAAGTAGAAGAATCCGTTACCTTTCACTTTGATTTCTCGGATCAAAGACCAGTCACTCGGTCTCATAATATGTTTTGTATCCAGCTAAGGTGTGTGTCTATCAGCTCTGAAAAAGACGTGCAAAACCATTTTTGAGAAGAAAAGGAAAAGTTACCTTTGCCCTCTATCATACTTTGAATTTGTTTCTAGCTACACAACCAGGAACAAAGCTTCACCCTTGGACTAGAGCTTCAGGCCAACTCTCTGTTAACCTTGTGGCCTGAACGAACCCAACAACTGGGGTCAGTACCACTGAGGCATGGGACTTTATGCAGAGAGGGGTGGTCACTGAGGCAAAAATCCCTCAGCAAGGACAGAGCTTCACCCTTGGACTAGAGCTTCAGGCCAACTCTCTGTTAACCTCGTGGCCTGAACGAACCCAACAACTGGGGTCAGTACCACTGAGGCATAGGACTTTATGCAGAGAGGGGTGGTCACTGAGGCAAAAATCCCTCAGCAAGATGAGGGCTGTGTATGTCTCTAAGCAACCCCGAAGGCCTCTCACCAGTGGCTGTGACTGTCACAGAGATAAAGTTGGCTTTCTCTAGATCCTAAAGAAAAGGAATCCCAGGAGGGACCCATCTACTGTGACAGCCCATCAGAGGTCACCTGCTTTCCTAAAAAACATTCCCCCAAAGTTAATGCTCTTCAAAGCCTCTCGCCCCTCAGAGCAATGAAAACTCCTGAAGGGAATGAGAGCCGTCATTGTTTTTAAACCCACCTATTGTCTTTTCTCTTCCACTTGGAGCAAGCCTCTTACCACTCAAGTTTTCAGAGCCCTCATCTTGTTTCCTCTGGAGGGTACAATAGGCCTGAGTTTCTTTTGATGCAAAGAACTGCTGGTCTCTGAGACTGCTCTTGGGGGTGGGGCGGCTGGAACTTGAATCCAATCTCAAGGAGAGTCAGGACTCCCTGGGGCCTCATGAGAGGGGAGGCGTTCTCTTCAGCATGGACAAGTCAGGCCTGAACTTCCAGCCAGACTGGGGTTAGTCTCAGGCTGACCTGGGACTATAAGGCCCTTGTTATCTATCTCCTCTCACAGTGACAGTAAGATGTGGGGGCCCTGCCTTTCCTAGTCTCTCTGGAGACACAGATGGCTGCTCTCCTGCATTCCAGGAGCATCAGGCCCCGAGGCAGCCGACTGGCCTTCCTGTCTGCACCCTGACAGCGCCTCCAAAATCCAGAGCAGGTGTCATTCCTTCTGGTGTTAAAACATAACACCTCCGACCATGGCCACCTTAGGGGTTTTACCTCAGGCCAGCACCCCTGAACTGCATCGTTAGGATGTCTACTGTAATGCTCAAATTAGTTTCCATGGACCAAAGGCTGGCACTTCTCCAAAATCCCCGGTTCCCCTCATTCCCAATATACTGTTTCTGACTCCATTTACTCTTTCTTTTGAGACAGTGCTCGTAGCTAAGGATGACCTTGAACTTCTGATCCGCCTACAAGGAGATTACAGGCATGTACCAACATGTCTGGCATGTGTGGTGCCAAACCCATGGTTTGCCAAGCAAGCATATCACCACCTGGGCTATGTCACCAGCCTCGTTCCCACCTTGGGAAATACAGATGGCCTCCCCCAGCTTTCGCTGACACCGTCTCATGCCTTATGTCCCCTCTACACAAATGCTTCTGGGTCTAACTCCCCTTCCGTGGCCCCAGCCTCTGGCTTAGGTCCCTGCCTGTCAGCAGGGTGGCTCCTCCTCCCCCACTTGTTGCTCCTAGAATAAAACAGCTCAGAAATGCCACATGGCTAAGGGTTTCAGTGTGTCCCCACAACACCAAGCTGAGCAGCCCTGAGGGGACAGTGTTACACACATGGGTTCAAGGCCAGAGCACCACTGAGTGCCATAGTTGGGGGTCCTGCCTGCCCTGCCTTCATGGACTCAGAAGCTGCTACCAAAGAGAGGGGGGTCTGTGACTGGAAAAGGCAGTGTCCCCTGTGTGTGAGCCGAGATGCCCCACCTTTTCCTGTTAGTGATGAGGTTTCTCAGCTGCTCTTGGTGGAAGCCAGAGGCGTGAAGCCAGAGGCAGGGCCTCTCTCTATCTGAGGCCTACAGCTCAACTTGGGTCCTTGATGCCAACTGCTCATCCATCCCACTGTGCTGGTGAAACACAGGCAACCCCAACCGCAGCCTTGCACTGGGCTCCAGGTTTGGTGCAATCACTGTTTCCAGGCCGAGTTATTGAGGGTGAGAAATGGGGGCTCATCCCTGCCAACCTTTCTCTGGTATTGTGTTCCAGCTCTGGTTCCTAAGGAACCCCTATGGGGTTTGAGCCAGCCCCAAGGACTTCCATTGGGGCCTTTCCAAATCTGGAATACCTTTAGAAATCACTGAGTAAGGATGCTGACTACCTCTGGAAGCTTCTGGAAGGAAAGCACAGCGGCAGCCAAATTCTCACAGGGTCTCTCATATGGACACCTCTGTGGCATGTACCCAGCAATGCTACCCATGGTCTCCTAACAAAGAGAATGGGGTCAAGAACTCTTTGACAACTAGGACTACCATTCTGTCTCCCTGAATGTTCCAACAGGAGGTAGGTGGTGTGGACCCCTGTGAGGGTTCTGGCCAGTTCCTGGGAATGTGAGATGGACATCAAGAGGCATTGTGTGAGAGTTCCATGCTGCTGAGGCACCCTCCACATGTGCCCCAAAGCCATTGGTCCTAGACTCGCTGCCCTCTTTGGGGTCTCCTACAAGGCTACAGCTGGAAACCCAAACAGGACAGTGCACTTCTGCCATGAGCACTGTGATCAGTCCAGATCTGACTTGCTTAAGCTATGCTGATGACCATGAACACGAGAGAGTCACCAGAGTCCAGATCTGCTCTCTGGCCGGCTTCCTGACTCCTGGGGCCACAGGCACACGTGGGTAGAGGTCCCAGTGCATGTTAGAAAGTGCTGTGTGTTTGTGACTTGTGGCGTAGCTAAGGATGACCTTGAACTTCTGATCCGCCTACAAGGAGATTACAGGCATGTACCAACATGTCTGGCATGTGTGGTGCCAAACCCATGGCTTGCCAAGCAAGCATATCACCACCTGGGCTATGTCACCAGCCTCGTTCCCGCCTTGGGAAATACAGATGGCCTCCCCCAGCTTTCGCTGACACCGTCTCATGCCTTATGTCCCCTCTACACAAATGCTTCTGGGTCTAACTCCCCTTCCGTGGCCCCAGCCTCTGGCTTAGGTCCCTGCCTGTCAGCAGGGTGGCTCCTCCTCCCCCACTTGTTGCTCCTAGAATAAAACAGCTCAGAAATGCCACATGGCTAAGGGTTTCAGTGTGTCCCCACAACACCAAGCTGAGCAGCCCTGAGGGGACAGTGTTACACACATGGGTTCAAGGCCAGAGCACCACTGAGTGCCATAGTTGGGGGTCCTGCCTGCCCTGCCTTCATGGACTCAGAAGCTGCTACCAAAGAGAGGGGGGTCTGTGACTGGAAAAGGCAGTGTCCCCTGTGTGTGAGCCGAGATGCCCCACCTTTTCCTGTTAGTGATGAGGTTTCTCAGCTGCTCTTGGTGGAAGCCAGAGGCGTGAAGCCAGAGGCAGGGCCTCTCTCTATCTGAGGCCTACAGCTCAACTTGGGTCCTTGATGCCAACTGCTCATCCATCCCACTGTGCTGGTGAAACACAGGCAACCCCAACCGCAGCCTTGCACTGGGCTCCAGGTTTGGTGCAATCAGTTTCCAGGCTGAGTTATTGAGGGTGAGAAATGGGGGCTCATCCCTGCCAACCTTTCTCTGGTATTGTGTTCCAGCTCTGGTTCCTAAGGAACCCCTATGGGGTTTGAGCCAGCCCCAAGGACTTCCATTGGGGCCTTTCCAAATCTGGAATACCTTTAGAAATCACTGAGTAAGGATGCTGACTACCTCTGGAAGCTTCTGGAAGGAAAGCACAGCGGCAGCCAAATTCTCACAGGGTCTCTCATATGGACACCTCTGTGGCATGTACCCAGCAATGCTACCCATGGTCTCCTAACAAAGAGAATGGGGTCAAGAACTCTTTGACAACTAGGACTACCATTCTGTCTCCCTGAATGTTCCAACAGGAGGTAGGTGGTGTGGACCCCTGTGAGGGTTCTGGCCAGTTCCTGGGAATGTGAGATGGACATCAAGAGGCATTGTGTGAGAGTTCCATGCTGCTGAGGCACCCTCCACATGTGCCCCAAAGCCATTGGTCCTAGACTCGCTGCCCTCTTTGGGGTCTCCTACAAGGCTACAGCTGGAAACCCAAACAGGACAGTGCACTTCTGCCATGAGCACTGTGATCAGTCCAGATCTGACTTGCTTAAGCTATGCTGATGACCATGAACACGCGAGAGTCACCAGAGTCCAGATCTGCTCTCTGGCCGGCTTCCTGACTCCTGGGGCCACAGGCACACGTGGGTAGAGGTCCCAGTGCATGTTAGAAAGTGCTGTGTGTTTGTGACTTGTGGGGACAAAAGGAAGCAGAGGCAGGTCAAGGGCATGAGGGCTCTGATGTTCCAGCAGGTCAGCAAGAAGCCTGCTGCTCCCAGGACAGCAATACACCCCACGTTCAGATCCCTGCACATGGACTTGAAGCCCTGGAAGAAATGCCAGAAAGTGTAGCCGCTCCATCAAGACCTGGGCTGAGTCCCCTCCTGACCCATGCCTCTCCTGTCAAGCACAGTAGAAAGGCAGATGAACAGAGCAGCAAGCATCGGGCTGGCTTCCTCTCCCGTCCACATGCTCGCCACCAAAGCCGTGGCCCACCCCAGACTCTTAGAGGACAGGCTGATGCAAGACTCTGTGGGTAGAGTTCAGGAAACAGCCATCCAAAGTCACACAGCAGCCGTGACCACAAATGAGATGAAGACATAGCTAATTGTTTGGGAAACCATGAATCTCATTGGGCTTGAAAGGCTTAGTCAAGGGCTACATTGCAACTTCTGAGATTGCCTGTGCCTGCAAGGTAGAACCGAGGCCAGAGGAGGGCAGCTCAGCCCTCTCGCTGGAGTAGCAGGTGGGAACAGAGGCAGCAAAAACGGCTTCCCCCTGTCCTCACATCACAGGTCACGTGGTGCCCCTCCCGCACTGTGGATGAG